CTTTGGCAGAGCGGATGCTCCCAGAACCTGCAGGAACCCTGGTCTTACATGGGAACCTTGGCTCCTTTTGAGAGCGCCCCCCTCCTTGTTTTTCCAATTTTGCCGGGAAAATGCGAACCATCCGCCCATTAGCATTCGAGGCATGCGTTCTTAGACTCTTGGGATGAATTGGTTCAGTCCTGCCCGAGGCTTTTCAGATGACATCCGCGAAGGAAACGTCTTCGGTCCCGATGTGGTCCACAGATTCATGCAGCAGAGCAAGCTGGACTTGCCCCGTGGCCGCCTTCACCCCTGTGGATCGGTCGTTTTGAAAGTCCCGAATTGTTTTTTTTCTCCGCCAACGCGCCTTTGCCAATTTTATGGGCTTCAAGCTCACCGATCCGCGGGTACACCGAGCGAAAGCCCAGAATTCAGGTTCTCTGCTTGGTTTTCGAATTCTTCTGGAATCTGTTGATGGGATGGCCCCTTTTCTTGACATAAATGGACGGCCTTGGTGCAATGAGTCTGCTACTGCCACAGGTGTTATCCCTGTCTTATCTACTACCAAAGTCAAGGGTGGCTTTATTGTATGGAAAGGGCTCTGAAATCGTGACTCTCCCATGGAGTGGAAAGTGGAGCACGGATCCAGGATCATCCTTCTGAGGCCTGGCAAAGTGTAGCATTCCTCCAATGCTAAACTTGCGGCGAAAGGGCTGGCTCGAACTGGGCACTCGGGGTTCATCTTGGTGGGTCCCGAGTTGGATGCGGTGTCTCTCGCGTGAACGCTGATCAAACTGCAAAGTCACTCCAGGGAATTTACTCGGCCACCCCCTGCTTCACGTGCAGTCTCACCCCAGATCCCCTTTTCCCATGTTCAAAATCCCAAGCACTGTCCAAAAAGCATCCCTTAAATAAGGTCAGATGCAAAAAACAGCTACTCCTTGGAAGATGGTCTGTGAACTTGTCTTGGCACTGATGTATCGTTTCGGGCGCTCCTTTTGCGTGTTTGTCCCAAGCGGTGGAATACTGTTTATTTTTGGTTGCAAAAAAAGGTAGCATTCCGCCCCCAACAGCGAACCCCTTCAAAATAGGTCATCCCCGGCATTTTAGCCAGAGGTTTTTGAATGAGCCTCTTCTGGAAACCACTGTGTCGCAAAGCGAGGATTTGTCGCGCTGGCCTGTCCGACGGAGGCTTCGAGTGGCGCCTGGACAGCAATCTGACAAAATGACTGGAGTGTCAGCTTGAATTACTTAAGGGGCTGCCGCCCTGTGCCGCCGGCCCCTGCTTGCTGACAGGGGACGTTGTTGCTATGACAATTATGACTACGCATTTTGTGTCGGGTTTAACGGCACACTTAAAGCATATATGAAAAGGAAGAGCACCACGATAATGATGATGTTTTTGATGATGCATTGTTTACCCAACATTAGGGATGCTGACAATTGTTACTATGATGCATTATGCATTCGCATTATCGCCAGCAGTTACGATGACAATTGTTACTTTGCACTTTGGGCATCACCAGCAGTGTTCTGACAATTATGACAACGCATTCCCTGCATCTCAAACAAGCCACTGCGGGATAAATTCGCATGACAATAAGCACCTTGTTGAATTTTACAAGAAGTGTCCTGGGTGTGTGGAAACTCGGGCAGGAAAACCATGTTGGGACTTTTTTGTTCTCAAGACTTCGATGTGTTGCTGTGGATGCGAAGTGTGGACTCTGTGCCATCGCTTCGTCTTCGCGAGAAGTAAGCCGTTAGGAACACCTCCGGATGCAATCAGATGGTGGTGGTGATGGAACCATGCACCCCCGGCATCGCCAGCAGTTATTTTGACAATCATGACTACGCATCCCCTGCATCTCAAGTCAGGTCGAACGGCACACGTGAAACGTATGCGAAAAAGAAGAGCGCCACGGTTTTGATGATGAACATGATGATGAAAATGATGATGGTGATGATGATGATGATGAACATGATGAACACGATGAACATGAAAATGGTGATAAAAATGATGATGGTGATGATGATGACCATGACGATGAACATGAAGAAGATGATGGTGATGATGATGGTGATAAACAGCACCATCATCATTTTCATCATCATGTTCATCATCATCATCATCATCATGCTCATCATCATGTTCATCATCATCATCATTTTCATCATCATCTTCTTCATCATCATCACGTTCATCATCATCATCATCATCATCATCATCATGTGCATCATCATGATCATCATCATCATGTTCATCATCACCATCATTTTCATCATTTTCATCATCATGTTCATCATCATCATCATCATCATCATGTGCATCATCATGATCATCATCAAAACCGTGGCGCTCTTCTTTTTCATATTCGTTTCAATTGTACCGTTAGACCCGGCTGGAATTGCAGAGGATGCGTTGTCATGATTGCCATGATAACTGCTGCTGATGTTGGAATACATAGTGATGACGTTAACTGCTGGTGATGCGTAGTGATGATTATCATCAGCATGATGTGGTAATGATGATGATGATGATCATGATTCATCATGAACATGGTGATGAAAATGATGGTGTGGTGGTGTTCATCATCATCATCATCATCATGTTCATCATCATCATCATTTTCATTCCTCATCATGTTCATCATCAAAACCGTGGCGCTCTTCTTTTTCATATCTGTTTCCAGTGTGCTGTTAGACCCGACTGGAAATGCAGAGGATGCGTTGTCATGATTGTCATGATAACTGTTGATGCTGGGGATGCATAGTGAGGATGCGCAGTGATGATTATCATCAGAATGATGATGATGATGATGAACATGATGAGGAACAAGCACGATAATGATGATGATGAACACCATCATTTTCATCATCATGAGCATCATCATCATCAACCATTTTCATCATGTTCATGATCATCATCATCACCAACCATTTTCATGTTCATGATCATCATCATCATCATGTTCTTCATCATTAACAGAAACATCATCCTGATAATCATCACTGCACATCCTCAGCATCACCAGCAGTCAACGTCATCACTATGCATCCCCAGCATCAGCAGCAGTTATCATGACAATCATGACAACGCATCCTTTGCACATCCAATCGGGTCTAGCGGCACACTTGAAACGTATAAGAAAAAGAAGAGCGCCACTCTTTTGATGAACATGATGATGAACATGATGATGATGATGAACACGATGATGATGAAGACGATGATGATGATGATGAACATGATGATGATCATCGTCATCCTGATGGTAATCATCACTGCGCATCCTCAGCATCACCAGCAGTTGACTATGCATCCCCAGCATCAGCAGCAGTTATCATGACCATCAACGCATCCTCTGCTTTTCCCGTCGGGCCTAACGGCGCACTTGAAACGTATATGAAAAAGAAGAGCGCCGCGGTAATGATGATGATCCGGATGCAGTGGCGATGATAATCATCACTAAGACAAGGACAAAGACAAACCCTTCTCGTGCCCCTTCCCATGCGCCTCCCCTTTGGAGAAAGGGGTCGGCGGATTCCTACGAAGTCACCCGTCCCAAAACCGTTTCAGCTGAGGTTTGCCGACACGAGGATGGTCTCCATCTTCAGCCAAGCAAACTACTGCGGGGAATTCCAAAACAAGGGAGCAGTGATGACCATCGACGAAGCTTTGCTCTGGTTTAGGTGCTGCAGTGCTACACGGCGTGTGCGCAACTGAGGAACCCCATTTTTCCTTCATGCAACCTTTTGAACGGCAAGGTTAGTACTCACTTACTTTGATCATTGCCCGGCGTCTTTCAAATGGAACACCTATGTGAGAAGAACATAATAGCCCCCGGTACACACCACGAATTCTTTTGGTTTCGCCACAAGCTATGACTTCATGGTTTTGGACAACCCATGCGGATCCAAAGCCTCAGGTCATTTCATCGGCTCCGGCCTTTCCATTGAGCCGCGGAAAAAGTGGGCCATATGTCCACTGGCCCAATGCTTCTCTCCTTTTGACCTTTTGGCTTTCTCTGGTTTGGCCTTCTTTTGGACAAGGTCCCAAACAAACATACATACACACGCCTGGGATAAGAACCACCTAATCTGCCGAACCTATACTGCGGACGGCCCCCAAGGAAGCAATCGATCAATCGATCAAAAAGGGACCTCAGCAAGTCAGTGTCTGAACAGATGCCCTGGACAACCATCAAGCAGGCCGGTCATTCATCCTGCAAAAACTGTTGGGCGATTAGTAAAGGCTGCAGGCAAACTCGAAGGGGTTGCTTACCCTGAGTGGCCCTTGCATGGTGGCTAAGAGTAGCTTATGTTAGCAAAGGCTAGCTGCTTGTTACAGACAGCAACTGGTCCCCGCGCCAAGCGGAGTTTTCGGCTTCGCTGCCGAGGAGACCTTGACGCCGAAGTTCGAAGTCTGGGAGCGTTGATAAAAAGCGGGGCGATCCTGGCCTCAACGGGTCGGCTTGACTCGTGCACGGTGAAGGATAGTCGATTCAAAATGGATGTTGTCCGCAATAATCAGTTAATTGATTTTGATTTGTCTGACCTCTGTGAGGGTCTTTCACTGTATGCAACACATCCCCAGGCACAGGCTTCGAACAAGATCCCCAGCTTTCTTGCTGAGCCACCGTTTTGCGATCTCAATATTACTGGCATATGAAAGCTACCTACTCGGGTGTAAGTAGGACTGCTTTGCAAAGAGGGAAGCATAGCGACTGCAGTTTCATGCTTTTTCAATTCAGGTTTCGGCCATTGGACACTCAAGTGGTGGAGACTGGACTGGGGATCCCGTCAGTTGGCGGCATGTCACCTTTCCCACTCTGCCTCACATGGTTGACCTGCAAAAGCCAGGTGCTGGCTGAACACCCGTGCACCCGTCGGGCTCGCCCAGCCTCACCCCTTGGGTGCCAAACAGCACCAAAGTAACTTGTTCCAAAAGAAACCCGAAAGCGGACCCGCTTCTCTTGATCGGGAAGCGGATCGCGGTTGTGATTCGCGCACTTTGTGCGCCTGAG